CCCCAAAACCCCAAAACCCCATGAGATAAAATTAACTAAAATAGTTAAAATACATTTCTAAATTAAACAATATATAATAATAAAGTATAATCAGCATTACTAATATTAATACTTGTGAAACGGCCTTCAAATCTCGAAAAAATTAGGACAATCCATCGTCCTCCTAAGCTTGTTTTTTAATTCTTGCAAGATTATGCTTTCCTGCATTTTTAAATCTTCATATATCATAGGTAGCACCATCACCCTAAACTTCTCAAATTTCAGAAAATCAACAGGTTATCTTGGCTTTGTAATCATAGTCCTCTTAACATATAAATCACTAACTAATCTCACTTCCTAATAGATCAGACTTCCCTTAGGAAAATTGTCTACTAAGTTAAGTAAATCTAGACCATTAAGGACTCCATCTCTATCATAATCATAAAAGTTAAACACTAGTCTGTCTTTTTCAATTTGAGTCCCCTATATTATATAATGCCTTATTGAAATCTTACATGGAACAAATTGGCAACTATTTTAAGATAATCTAAGCAAAATATTTTAAAGCACTTCTAGTTTTCAGAAACAAATAAATGTAAAAATCTCTAGATAAATTCCAAATTATCATGACCGAACACTCTAATCTAAAATCAATTCATATATTCAAATAGAATTTACCATGTTTTTCTCAACAGATTACTGGGTTAAATATATTTTAATAATGTCTGGCTCATCTGGATTCGCTGAGAGGTCTTTAAAACTTTTTAAAACGTAGTCATAGTCTTTTTTAAGAAGTTATTTCACAAAGTAGAGGACGAATTTCTATGACTTTGCCTAGGCTGATTGATTAGTGATCAAATAAATAGATTTGTTATTGGCTGCTATATTCTAAATGTTTTTAATGTATTGCTCATCCTCGAGATCAAAGTCTGATTGATTATCATATCTTCTGATAGTATGTCTTTTCTAAATAGCTTGAATAGCAAAATCTAAAATTAATGTAATTTACTATTATCTTACTTTTGTCATCTCTGTTTTGATTTGCAGCTATTTCTCTCAAGTTAATTATGCCAAGAGTAATATGTCTAATGAAATCCATTGCAAGTTAAGGAAGATTGTTCTCGAATTTAATCTGGGTCACAAAGTCATCCATACTTATTTTCATGCAACTATTCGACTTATCCTTGAAGTGATCAAACTTACTCTCATTATCCTTTAATATGCTTTTGAACTAATTGTTCAAGCTTTTGCCTAAGCTTATCTACAACTAGTTAACAGCAGGGGGACTTCCATTATTTTCTGCTTCATGATCATTAGTTCTCGTTATAAAGGTATTATCATGACTGAGATTTTTCATTCTTGATCTTCTATTGCTGTCTTATTCTATCTAAAATTTGAATGGATTTCCTCTTGGGGATATGGATTATTATTTCCCAAAGTTTGCAGTCGTTTTACTCGATAAGAGATTAGAGGATTATTGCTATTGCTAAGAAAGCATCATTCTTTTTAACTCATTATTATCTCCAGTCACTTTACCTTATTGATACCGCTTGTCATTAAAAGCTTAAGAAATCTTGGCGAAATCTTAATTAAATCCATCAAAGAATATTTTATCAGAATCATCACATGCTTCTCTATAGTTGTTTGAAATCTGCTGTTTATTGAATAGCTCTTTATAGAAATATATAACGTCTCTCTGTCTGAATTACTCTAAGATTTAAAACATATCATGTTCACAAAGCTAATTATTCCCAGTTATATTAAAAGATGTGAATGTGAACTTCTACCAAGTGGCTGGGCCACTTTTAATGAAATCTCTAATGATCCTTATAAAAGCTTTGAATTCAATTCGATATAAGGTACCAAAATTGGCCTCTATATATGTAATCATTCTCTCACTAATCTTTCTACCATATCTATCCTAAAGAAATTGCTTAAAAGTGTTTCTGTTTAACTTGCTCCATCTCAAAGCACTATCATCTTCAGCTAACTTAAGAAAAAAGCCTTAAAAGGCCTTGCTCTATTCTAGACTTTAAAGTATAAGGCCAATTTGGTTATTATTTTACGACAATTGGGAACTAACCCCAGATGCTCTGGATTAGGCTACTGTTTACCTCTTTTTACTATAAAGGACAGTTGATTGTCTAATTGTTGGAGATCTGTTATGAATACCATTAATCTGCTATCTTGAGGGAATGTCTTCTTAAGATTTTTATTCTAGTACTGAGACTGTTTTATCTTAAGACTTTTCATATCCCAGAAAAGATTTTTCCTCAATTTAGTTTAGCCCAGTATCAGCCTCAGGTATATAAGCAGTTCCTCTTCTCTTTAAGATTTTTGACATTTTCTCTTTTGTGCTGCTGTTTATATTTGTCTTGCTTTCTCTGGACTATTTTGCATCCATAATATTGTTGTCAAAAATCTCTAATTTCAATGGAGAGCCATTATTCTTAATTACATTCGATAAGATTTACTACCTAATATTTCTAGTTTTCTACTCCTATGTTTTAGGTTTCTCTTCACTTCTCAATTTTTTATCTTCGTTAATGTCTTCACTATTGATGAAGATACTGTAGTCATTGATTTTATTTATCCCATTGTTGCTCGTGTTACTCTACTCTATCATAGTTTATTAATGCAATCGAAGTTTTCTTAATCTTTTGGCTTAAAAATTGCTATACCTCATGCTTTATTTCTAGTTTGGCTAAGGTGATGTTTAGACACTATTGCGATTACTAGTATTTTTCTTAGTAATCTAGAAATCATCATACCTTGTAAGTTGCGATAGCTCATGCTAAAGATCAGTTCTTAACTTGAAATCACTTTCATCAGGTAAAACATTCATATAGTAGTCTACTCTTTTGGTGTGATCTTTCTTTTTCATCTATATTTCTTCTATTGGAAGATAGTTCTACTCACGATCACTTTTAATATTGACTAATTTCTGATGCTACTCAATATTTTGATCATGGATATGCTCGAAATAATAGCTGTTTGCAAGAGTAGATCGTGAAAGCTATCTTTTACGAGTGTAAATGCCAGCTTTTTCAGCTGAATCTAACAAGAACTGATAGCCCTCTTTAGTTTATTGCATTTTGTTAATGAATTCTATTGCATTACTCTTTTTTTCTTTAAGATCCTCATCATTGTCCAAGAGTTTCCTTTAAACATTGTTGATCAGTGCAGTGCTGCGCATTCAGTTGCGCTCAAGAAAAGGATTCATTCCTGATGCGTTTAGATTAGCGAATGAATTTCTAAGTGAATTTGCATTATTGTTATTTTAAGATTTTCTTAGATAGTCTGAAAACCCTATTTTTTCTTTTGTATTTGACCTTTCTAGTCTTTAACTAAGATTATCTCTCCCTAATTTAGGTAATGAAACAAGTTGTTGCTGCCTAATGGATGATGGAAGCTACATTAAATTTTAACTCATTTATTATCTTATAAATCTATTACTAAAATTTCTCCTTCATATCTATTATCTTTTTTAATTTACATCAAATTTATTTAACACTTTAACTCTCATTTATATGTGACATAGGGGTTTTGGGGTTTTGGGGTTTTGGGG